TCTCCGTGGTTCCTGATATATTAATTTACCCGTAAAAAACTTTCACGGGGCTGTACGTGTTACCCGCGAGTACGGGAAGGCTGAATTTAAATTTGCCGCGTCACCCGTTGGTGGGGAACACTGTACCAAAATTCCAGCCGCCTAGCTTTTGTAGTTCCCGAGTTGAAAGTGCGGGACAAAATGTGGGACACACGCACAAACACACCCACATACACACAAACACACACACAGACAATCCCGTGACAATATGCGTTTTGTAACGCTGTTATACAGCACAAAACGCATAAAAATGGCAGTGCTTGTTCGCCATCATTTTTTTGCTTCATGAAATTGGCATTAAATTCTCTACAGGTTCATCGTAACTGGATGGCCATCACGCATACGCTTCCACTGCAATCGTGGTATTACGACAGTACATCTCACTGGACACTCGATTATCCACCATTTTTCGCTTTCTTTGAATATCTTCTAAGTGAGGTACATCAAATTATATTTGCCTTAACAAATTTGTTTTTTTTTTGATGAGACCGCTTGAAGGCAAAAATTTACGGTTTTTCAGGTTGCATCAGTTTTTGTGCCGTCCGCTTTGGTCTTGCAAAAAAATGCTTATTTTTCAAGTGAGCTGCTGTTTTTCCAAAGATGTTCTGTGATTGTGACCGATTTTTTTTACGTGAGTTACGATTTGCTGATGTCTTTAAGCATAATCCTTTTTTCCAATTACATTTATTTTAATCGAAAGGCCTGTCATAACTGCTGAAAGCATTTTGGTAACATCACTAACAGGAAATACACTAATAGCCCGAACAGTCTTGGTAATTTTGTAGTTACATTTTTTACATAAAACTAAAACTTTCATTTTTTCCGAATTTTTGCATTATGTTCTTTGTAAATTTTAATCGAAAAAAAATTTCATATAAAAAATTGCAGTAAAATCGCTTGTTATTTATTGTTACTATTCTTGCTCATTTGTTCACCCCTTTCTAATTCCAGGCATTGTCATGTGTCTATTTGACGAGGAGTTTCGCTGAGGGTTGGAAGAGCGATGCTGATCGCGAGAGGA